CTTAACAAAGTAACAGAAATTAACCTGCCTTCTTTGCTAGAAGATTTGCAATATAACCAGAATTTAATTCTATTAATTTAAAGAATAACAACAAATTCCCCATTACCTCTTCTACCTATTTACCATTAAATTGTCAGTGTAAGCGGATGAGGGTAACTATGCCACTTAACTTGGACTTGCAATACAGTTCAGGCAGAGAAAGATGCCTCACTGAAGAGCAGATTCAAGCACCTTTGAGTTTGCTGCTTTGAAGAAGCTTGCCTCTCACTATTCAGCATATAGGGAGCTTACAGAAATTAATTTTCTCATGCAGGCATCTGAAGTTAGATGGTGTGAAAAATATACTCCTCTTCTTCCATCCACTGCATCAATGAGGTAATAAAAACAAGACCTAACACTTTCTGGAGGACAAATGATAGGCAAACATTCTTTAAGCGGTTTATTTTATAAATGTCAGTAAATTAGCAAATACATAACACGGACTTAAATACTGCTGTATATCTGGCAGTGTTATATAAATAACCCTTAATAAAAATTATATGTAGCAGTACCAAATAAGCAAGGAGCAAAAGTATCCTAATAAATTGGTTTGAAAATAAATGTACTTGAGAGAATGCTACGCGATGCATGGTTTTTAAATTTTCTCACTTTGAAGTCATGTCAGCCTAACAAAAAACACAACTTGATAATAACATTACTATTACTAATGAGACAAAAGGAGAAGAAAGTGCACTGGTGGATACAAGAGAAAGAACAGCAATGAAAGAATTGTGGAATGCTTTGATAATGTTTGGGTAATAAATTATTAGGATGTTCATCAACATAACTAGAAAAGTAGTCCTCTCAGTAAAGTACTGCCAGACTACCAAATAGGTACCAGACAAAAAGTGCTAACAGGTGCATAGCAAGCACTCCAGTTTGTTCCAGCAATGCATCTTCACCTTGATATGTAGCACCCAAAAGAGTTTCCTAGCACAGAAGTTATACCACCTTGTGGGCCTGACCAGTGAACATATTTGAAAGATAGCTATAAAAGTGCAGATCGTGTTGTATTATATTATATATATACTGTATATCTGCATATTCTCCATGGAGAATAATTCAATAGTTCCAATAAAATTTACCTTTCCCACTGAGAGCCTAGGGACTTGGAACGTAACTGAAAGATTCACTGCAAAGTTTAAACAAACATTAGGAGGCCTGAAAGATTTTATTACGTGAGATGTATTACTGTGTGTTATGCTATTAGGTAATACGTTAAATACGTTAGAAGGAGGACAGATTCCAGCTCCATGTTCAGATACATCTTTGGAGAAAAAAGTTCTATGGGAGCATCTTTAACCTGTAAACTGAGCTGATTAACTGGAAGTAACTGAGACCTGCCAGCGACAGAGGATTATGTATGCTCAGTTCCAGCCTTAGCAGTCAGGACACAACCGCACTTTTAACCTCTGCCTCAGTTTCCATGTGTAAAGCATCCGGAGATTTCAAAAAAGCTACTTTAAAATATTACTACAATTAGCTGATAAATTTTTCAGTGAAGCTATTGAGCAAAGGGCCTTGGAAAACTTCTTCCCGTTCCATATACATTATGCTTTGATAGATACAATGAAATAGCAGAAAAACAGGAAAAGCTGAGAATATACAGGTGATTCACTGCATTAGTTTTTTCCCTTTTTTTTTGTAGACCTTCATCTTCCACAGGGAACCAAGCTTCTCAGGACACGCTGGACAACAAAAAGCCCTAGTCATACACGCTTAGTTTCAAAATTATGTTACTACTCAGAGAGAAAAATAAATGTATACTATATTAAAACCAATCATCACAGCCCTTTAAGTGATTGGCTCTGTTAGCTCTGAGTGCAACCCAACCTAACAGAGGCTTTAATGGCTTTTGACAGATTGTTCCACTGATCAAGGGACATGTATGAAAATAACTGCCTACCAAGCCCTGATTTGATTTTAAGAAAAGAAAACTGAAAGTTAATGGTAAACAGAAGTTGATTGTTCACATTTTCACTAAAATAACTCTGACCTGTTCTTAGAAGCAGTGAAATAAAGGATAATGGGAATCCTATACACCTGACTTTTTACTTTAGCCTCTAATCAAGGGGACTAATCAGACCAAGATGTGTTGGCATGAAAGCAAGTATTTGACGATACAGAGGGGGAGGAGAACAACTTTTCTGGCCAAATTCAGGTTCATCATGGACAAGCGCTGTAAAACCAGTGGAGTATTAGAGGATGCAAACCATAGCATAGGACGCCCTTTTCTATCATGTAAATTACGAACGCTATCTCCAAAGCAATGAGAAGGTAAACCACAGTTTTCATGTCACGTGTGAAGTGCTCACATCCAAACATCAGCATTTTAATGTGATACTTTTATCAGTTATTTGTTGGCTATTATTTGACATGTTATTCAGCCAATTCTGCAGCCTTACTAAGTACAGTCTTTTTGCAATAGTATAAATTATCTTCTCTTGTTCAGTGAAAGCCTCCAGGCTAAGGTGAAAAGGACAGATGAACGTGAATTAAGATGCAAGCCCAGCCACACTGAAGGTGATGAGTCTCAGTTTGGACTGGAAACAGAAGAGAACAGTGGTTTTATTCAGGATTGCCTCTTCCCTTACAGGTAGGGTGAGGTGACAGCCAGAATTGGGCAGGCTGGGAGTCCTCAGAAATACTGAATGTTGGTGTTTGCCTGAGCCCTTCACCACTAGCAGGTCCCACCCTCTAATGCTAGATTAGTGTAGGGCTGACCTTTTCATTCTGCTGTGGGGAGTACAGCGGTTGTCTTTTTTTGGATGAGGAACCTTGCTGTGAACAGCATTCTGTCTGTTTGTCTGACCCTTCCCCATAGCAGCTCACCGTCCTGGTGGGATAGTTCAGAACATGAGCTGCAGCAACTTGAATCTCAAATGGGAAACAGATGTCAAGTGGAGGTACACAGTCCACAGAGGTATAGTAGGACAGAGACGGAGGTTGAAGCTGGGGATCAGCGTTTCTCATGCCTGTTGCTACAGTGGAACAACCGTTTTTTTTTGCAAGAAGACAGTGGTCAGCTCCTAGCAAAAAGCTGAGGACCAGCTGTTGGGGGCATGCGGGGGGTTAAGGAGCCAACATTAACTTTGCACCAGGTGGTAACGATTAAGGGAGAGCTCCTGACCTGCACTGTACAAGTTACTGCTCAATGACTCCCATATGAGCTCAGTTAATAAAGTTGTGGCCTTGAGAAAGCACATCCCTTGCATCTCATGGGCATCTCATCTCATCCCAGCTTAGACATCAGCTCCTGGGCTAGTTTAATCTCTGTTACGTTACATTCCACTGCATGACACAGGACTAATGGAACGGCACTACAGTAACTGAGAAAGGAGCAATGCCCACTCTGAACACACCACAATATTTTAGTCAGCTTTCACAATGGATTTTAGTATTCTTTTCACTTCTTTTTTTCCTGTTATGGCACTGGAATCCCTGAATCTGTCCCACAGCATCAAGAATTCTAGAATGACTTTAAAGTGCATCTTGCATTATTGCCAGGGAAACAAAAACTATATCCGGATGATAATAAGACAAGTGATTTGGATATTTATTATGTTGCATGTTACGCACCCTGGACAGTTTCCAGTTGGTAATTACTCATAGCATTCTTATTTACACTTTAGATCATCAGAATCTGCTGTAAAACTCAGAGCATAAGCACGATGCCTTTAAAATCTCCTGTATTGAGATTAATATTTTTTATTTACATATCCTTTTAACAAGAAGAAAGGACCTACAGGATAAAAAATTTTCATATACAGACATATGAATAAAGCATTATAAAAACATTTCTAATTACATTGCATAACACAGCAGTTTTCTATCAAATACTTAAAAACGGCCTTTACCTTTCATCCCCCAAATTACAGAAACAATAAAAGTTTTCCATTTTCTGCCAACATTTTCTTTCTATCAGTGTAGAACCAACTCTGTATCAGATTTTTTTCAAGAAAGCCTTTGCCTCGAGCATTTAATTTGTATTGGTTCCATGTTTAGTTGGTAGCTTTTGTAAAATTGATGAATATTGTCTAAAGGCAAGTGCAGACAGGCAAACAGATCTGTATCTTCTGTAATCCATTTAGCCTGACGCACACGTGCAAGTGAACTATTTTACCTTAATTCTTCCATGGCTGATGAAAAGTAAATGCAAGCAAAGTCATGAACTTCACCATTTAAAAAGAATCACTGAATCTAATGTCAGAAGTTAATTTATGCTCGCACCTCTTCCCTGAAAAAACTGACCTTGGTCCTCCTGCCTCTAGAGCACCCCGACTTGGCAAGCAGTTGCTATACACAGCACATCCATTAGAGGCTGTGTCTTCCAGCTCATCCAAAATGGACACAGGTTATCTAATGCTGGAATATAAATGGATTGTTAAAGTATCGTTGCAACATGAGCTCAATTATAACTCTTTGAACAAAATAAAGAAAATTTCAAAGTATTTGTCTGCTTCTAGTATGTAATCCAAACACAGCAATGATTTACACTTGATCTCTCAGGACTTTTATAGATATTTACCTTTAATCATGTTGTCCTTTTGGGGTACCTTTTGACATTACTATAGGCTTCAAACAGTTCCATCAACCTTACTCGTATCTTTGCTATCAACTCCTGCGGGCTTTGGAGATATGAAAGCTTCTTCTACTTCCATATTTCAACTGAACTCAATCAAGTTACACTGATTTAGATTATGTGAGACTAGAATGCAACACAGAATTAATCCTCTTTAACCACTTGATTATTGGTATTTTGCCAGTGAATCTCAGGTCTCATCCGTTCCAAAGGTGTTCATTTGTCTATGTCATTGTCATCCGTGGCTTAAATGAGTGCTATCTGACTGTACGGAGGCTAGGACTAGTTCAGCTAATTCACTAGCTTAAATCTTCAGCAGAGACAAGTCCTAGAATCACATATTTTTAAAAATTCTATTACTGCTGCCAGCAGTCTCCTAATACAAGAAAAAAAAACCCCAAGTGGTTTTTTTTTTTTTTTCACTTCTGCTGGAAATAATTATTTGCCAATCATTTTTTAATAGCTATGCCTCCACTTCAGCTACAAACTACAACACTGATGTGCCTTCTCTACCCTTTATGGCTGTCAGATTCATTTCAATACTGTGATCCCCATGGTTTCTAGCAGCGCTTAATTAAACACAAAATAATCATAAAGTAACAGCATAAACAAACAAACAATCCCCTCAAACGCTGTGTTAACAGTGTTACATCATTAGCGTGTTTGAATTCATCTTGCTCATTTCCAAAGTAATATCTGTGTCTGTGAGAACTGCCTTTTCAAAAGCAGAATTCCCACATCTTCAGCTAGCTTTTCTCTAAGTGATCTCCAAAGTAAACAGTATTTAGTGTGGCATTAATCCAAATATATGCTATTTGCCCACTAGTAAAGCCAGCTTTAGCTAGTGCAGGGAAGAAAAAGCTATGCTCATAACACAGTATTTCAAAACATTAAGAAATCTGTGGCACGGGAGACAATAAATAAATGTATGGATTGAAATTATAATATAATCAAACCTACTTTAAATAATAATTAATTCTTCAGAGAGGCTTTACATTCTACTGGGTGGCTAACAGTTTCTGCAGAAGTCCAGGACTACAACGAAAATGCTTGATGCAGGTCTTTATAGTTGTGCTGGTATAGCTACATCAAAGGTGTCCCAAGGTACAATCTCTACTTGATATAATTGTCCTGGCAAAAGCTGGTAGGTGTGGACACAATTTTATACCACTAAAACTGAATTTTTGCTGGCACAGCTTCTTTAGCTCCAGGGAGGTCTGGCATATGTTATACTGTCAAAAGTACAATTTTCAGCAGTAGAAGCCTCATCCGCACACAGAGCACTTTGCCAATACAGCGCACTGGTATGCTCTGGGTAAGCCTGGCCTCAACAGTGAATTTAAACAGAAGATTAACACAGGAGGCGTATTCATTTCTTGGTGGCAACGTCAAGCGCTGAGCCTTACTGGTTTCTTTTGTAGTGGTAACACAGACTGAGTGCTGTTTCACCATAATATGATTTTCGTCTGCTTTTCATGGCAAAGGAAAAGGCGTACGGCAGCTCAAGTTAAAATAGCAACTTAACCAAATGAATAATCTCTCTCATTCAGGACTGCCCTGTATGTGCAGCACCGAATTGTTCTTTTTATAGCATGTTACTACAAAACAGATCACAAGCAGCTTCATTTCTCATTGTGTTCTGGTTTTGTTGTCAGAGATCTCACTAGATCAACACAGATGCTGCAAGGGCCAGTATCACATGATCTCAATCTCATCTGTTGAGCACCTGACACCCCAAATGGGAACCCTTACGTAGGGTCAGCTCCATCAGCTCTTCAGACAATTCACTGGGAAGCCTGGCCTCAGAAGAGGATTCACAACATGGGGAAACAAAGCAATGGTTAGGAACTGAATTCTGAGTTCCAGGGAGCCCAGAAGGTACAGATTCACATCAGCAATCTCTCCCAGTACTACTCAATTACCATGATGAAAAACAGCAAGAAAGTTTTGGGATCTATGTCAGGACGCTCCCCCAGAGTTCCTCATGGGAAAAAATGCTCTAACAAGAAGCCATTGCATAAAGGACTTTCTCCACCATCTTCTGCACCTCCGTCTCGGTCAGTGGATAAAGAAGTCACAGCCCTAATCTGAAGATATCAAGCAGGCTCACCCCAAACTGTCCCGTCATTAGGATGCCCAGATGATGGATTCTGCTTTGTCGCAGGCATTACCTACACTTTACGTTGCTCAAACCTGCCAAGCCAGAGCCAATTCTAGGCACTCACGGAAGCTGAAATTTAGATGCCAAAGGAACTCATGGAAACACAGATATCCATGGGCTGTAGGAATTAGATTGGAGAAGGAAAGAACTGAGGCTGTTTTTTGTGGACTTCAGGTCTTAAAAGTCACCTGTTTCTGTAGATTTGGGGCCTGGTCTTTTTTATTATGAGACAGTAACTACGGTACTACGTGAAGACCAGTAAAATCTGCATTGACACATAAAATAACACACGATCAAGGAATCATAAAGCTGAAAAGATTTATGTTAAATTAAAAGGCTTCTCTCCAAATGATGAGCATCAATAATTCTAGGCTGGAAGGTCACTCATTATTCTACCCACTGAACAAGATTTTGTAGATTAGCAATTACTTCTTCAAGATCATACGGCAGAGGCATATTACATTCATCATCTGTCCAGAAGGGATGGCATTCTGGTTTCTGGTCTTCTGGCAAGCTCTCTGCCGCTTTTGACTGGCATCTGAAAAGAAAGGTAAGCAGATGAACTACTTAAGTAAAACCGTATCAAGAAACTGAATACTCAGCGAGGATACATTTGTGCATTAATTTAAAGAGAAAGATGATAATAAAAAAGAAATACCACATCTTCTGACCAAATGGATTGTTCATTTACAGTGAAGTTGATTTCTGTTGTAGGCTTTGTATTTTCTATGGGGATTTCTCAAAAAGCCAATCACAGAGAAAACTCAGTTAGTGTACCTTTATATGGTGAATTATTTTTTCATTATCTCAGCTGTTATTTAAAGTATGTGATTAAACCATTATCAGATTTAAATGTTTGCCGGTTTCCAATGTATTACTAGATTATTGAGAAAGATTAAACTGAATTTACTGCATTAAGGTCAGGGGGGATAGATTAAACAATATTAAAGAAGCCAGACTAGCTTTGTAGATTCTGGAGATTTACAAGTGTATCAACCTGCTTAGCTCTGAAAAAGGCAATATAAAAAGAGAAAATTCTATAAAGATAAATGGAAATGGAGGTTAATAACAACTTCCAATGATGAATAGGTGGGCAAAACTTCAATAAAATTAAATTAAGAGGTTAGTGTATGTTAGTCCCCAGAGAAAATGTTTAAATTACAGTGTTTTTTATTAAATGGATTATTCATCAATACTACTGAAGTAGTATATTCAACTGAACTGCAGCCTGCAGAAGAAAGTTTTATAAGTGGCAACCATCACATCTCTTAAGATTAGGCTGTAATATGACATGCTACATCAAAAAAATTGTCACAGTTCAAGGAGGATTTCTTC